AAAGTTGAAATCAAACCTACGCCCTTGGAGTGAACAGCTATGAAAACAACCAGTATTGCTTCAATTTCTTTAGAGGCAGGTAGGACCAAGGAAAGCAATAGAAGACTTTGATTCTAGTCGTTTTAAATTAAATTAAAGCCTCCATGCTGTACTTGGACTCGAGCACTTTTTACCTCAGATGATAAAAAAGTAAGTTGCTTTGTGATCAGGTGCTGCAAGCTTTATTGCCAAAAGATGTGTTTGATTGTTAGCCAGTGATAATGGTGGATTATTTGTGGGTTTTAATGACCCATAAGGACCTGTTTGTGTCAGCCGTCGCTTCTTGATAAAGACTATATGATTAATGAGTAAGTTGACATTAACAGGATGTCTCACTTTGAAGAAAATTGTTTCATAAGAGTTCAGAAGATGGCCAGCAGGTTGAGAAGTGAAATAAATAAATAAATCATTATGCCTTTCTGCTGAGACTTAAAATGATCTTTATGCGTTTTTTCTCAATCAAAATATGAATCTTTTTTTTTATATTGAAGGTGATGGTGGACAACCCTGACTTCACTCCCTCCCAGGTTGGCGGTCTCTTCACCTTCTTGGCTCGCCAGCTGGCCAAACCAAACAACACACTGTTTGTGAACAGGAACCTTTTCGATCAGGTATACACAGATCCGCTCTTTCAAAACAGTACCTTTGACTGCAGGAAAAGCTCTTATTTAGTTCATTGTCAGAGTTTCTTTCAGGGTGACAGTGGTATTTAAACCCTTTCATGTGCTGCAGTCTGCTGAGAACCTCCTGTATTCAGTTATCAGTCTGGCAGGTTGATGGGTTCAAAATTAGATGAGGATTTTTTTAAAAGCGGCGGAGGTTATCGACATCATCACAGAAACTAAACCAGAATTTCAGTCCGTAAAAGAAAGGGCTGAGATTCAAACACAAAGCCAGAAATCAGACACATCCACCCGGAAAATAACTTTGAAAGTCGTTTTTTTTTTCAGCAGCATCTACAAATGGGTATCTATACGTCTCTTGATATAACCTTTGTATGTTATGCAGGGCTCGCTGCTCAGCCCCAAACTTTATATTCTATATCATTGATCAATCTGTTAAGTACAGATGACACCATTTATTTCAGTGTGAGCCTTCAGGAGCAACATTACACAGTACTATAATGCACCTCTATCATCATGCTAACATCTTGTTAACATCAGCCCACCTTGCTTTCATCATGCTAACATCAGCTCACCATGCTATCATCATGCTAANAATGCACCTCTATCATCATGCTAACATCTTGTTAACATCAGCCCACCTTGCTTTCATCATGCTAACATCAGCTCACCATGCTATCATCATGCTAACATTAACCCGCCTTGCGTCATCATGCTAACATCAGCTCACCATGCTATTATCATACTAATATTGGCCCGCCTTGCTGTCATCATGCTAACATCCACTCACCATGCTATCATCATGCTAACATTAACCCGCCTTGCATCATCATGCTAACATCAGCCCACCCTGCTGTCATTATGCTAACATTAACCCGCCTTGCGTCATCATGCTAACATCAGCCCACCCTGCTGTCATCATGCTAGCATCCGCCCGCCTTGCGTCATCATGCTATCATCAGCTCACTATGCTGTCATCATGCTAACATTAACCTGCCTTGCTGTCATCATGCTAACATCTGCCCACCTTGCTTTCAGCATGCTAACATCAGCCTGCCTTGCTGTCATCATGCTAACATTAACTCGCCTTGCTGTAGTTGCACTAACATTAGCCTGCCTACTATCATGATGCTAACATTAGCCAGCCTTGCAGTCCTTGTGCTAACATAAGCCCACCTTGCTGTCATCAACGCGAACATTATACCGCCTTGCTGTCATTGTGCTAACATTAGCCCGCCTTGCTGTCATCAACGCTAACATTAATCTGCCTTGCTGTCATTGTGCTAACATTAATCCGCCTTGCTGTCATCGTGCTAACATTAATCTGCCTTGCTGTCATCAATGCTAACATTAGTCCACCTTGCTGTCATTGCGCTAACATTAGCCCAACTTGCTGTCATCATGCTAACATTAGCCCAACTTGCTGTCACTGTGCTAACATTAGCCTGCCTTACTATCATCATGCTAACATTAATCTGCCTTGCAGTCCTTGTGCTAACATTAGCCCGCCTTGCTGTCACCAACGTTAACATTATTCCGCCTTGCTGTCATTGTGCTAACATTAGCCCGTTTTCTGTCATCAGCGCTAACATTAATCCGCCTTGCTGTCATTGTGCTAACATTAGCCCGCCTTGCCGTCATCACCGCTAACATTAATCCGCCTTGCTGTCATTGCGCTAACATTAGCCCGCCTTGCTGTCATCAACGCTAACATTAATCCGCCTTGCTGTCATTGCATTAACATTAGCCCAACTTGCTGTCATCGTGCTAACATTAGCCCGCCTTGCTGTTATCAACGCTAACATTAATCCGCCTTGCTGTCATCATGCTAACATTAATCCGCCTTGTTGTCATCAATGCTAACATTAGTCCACCTTGCTGTCATTGCGCTAACATTAGCCCGACTTGCTGTCATCATGCTAACATTAGCCCAACTTGCTGTCACTGTGCTAACATTAGCCTGCCTTACTATCATCATGCTAACATTAATCCGCCTTGCAGTCCTTGTGCTAACATTAGCCCGCCTTGCTGTCACCAACGTTAACATTAATCCGCCTTGCTGTCATTGCGCTAACATTAGCCCGACTTGCTGTCATCGTGCTAACATTAATCCGTCTTGCTGTCATTGCGCTAACATTAATCCATCTTGCTGTCATTGCGCTTACATTAGCCCGCCTTGCTGTCATCAATGCTAACATTGGTCCACCTTGCTGTCATTGCGCTAACATTAACCCTACTTGCTGTCATCGTGCTAACATTAGCCTGAAATGTTTAGGGTGGAAAGTTTCTACCTACTCTTCAGCTGTTTCATGTTTACGTTTAAAATAACTAAATGGAAATGGAATTAAAAGTGATTTTCAGACTGAAACAAGAATAGACGGATATGATGATGTCCTGGTGTTAGCAGCAGGCTGGA